TTTTATTTCAATTTTTATTTTTTTTCGTCGCGCTGTGATGACGCCACATGCGCGATTTCGTCGAGCGCGATTTTGTCCTCCGTGCTTTTGACGGGTCACGGAAAAACACTGGGATAATTGGTTTAAGATGGCAAAATGAGGGAAAAGATTCATTCGGTCAAAAATCAGGAGTTGTTTTTCTGATTTTTGATTACCAGAATGTTGGTGGTTTTTTTTAAAACCTCGGGCACTTTAAGAGGTATGAAGTTCGACTCCCAGAAGTCCCCAGTCAGCCATGCTGGCTGGGGACTTCTGGGAGTTGAAGTCCATAGCTCTTAAAATGGCCAAAAAACATCAGTTTTGGGTGTAAATTCCAGCAAGAGCAGGAATTTTTTTGGGGGGGGGGGATGGAGAAAAACACATCACATGCCACTCAGTTCAGACAACACATTTCAGGGCACTTTATTCACCGGGCACAGAAAGCAACATAGCAACAGGCCACCGCAGGAGTACACGCGTGTCAGTGGGGGAGGGGCACATTCCCCCCCACACCATCCCAGCTCCTGCCCACAATTCGATAAAAAAAGAGAGAAAAAGACAGACCGAGCAGAAAAACAGAAAAAGAGAAAAAACACCAGGCGCACGTCGAAGCAAACTGTTAACCAACGAACCCCCATCCCACCCCAAACCGTGTCAACAAGATACACGCTACCGATTAAACCAGGACAAAACAGTACCGCCAGTCCAACAAAACCACGATTTTTTTTCGTCCCTTATTCCCCGATGCCCCACTCCCCTTGCCCGCCCGCACGCCCGCCCCTCCTTCCATCCAGCCTTCCAAGGCGGAACGCCGGCCCGCTCCCCCCCCCAAAAAAAACCACCCACCCCCCCAAAATTCCTTTGCAACACGCGGGAGGAGGAGAATCCTAGACTGCATCCTTTGCACCACCGGAGTATGTGTTGGGTGTATTGATATGTTTGGCAACAGACAAAGCGGACACCCACTTCCCCAAAAGGAGAGAGGGACCGACAGTCAACGCCCCAAAATCGGACAGATAGCCAGACAGCGAACGACAAGAACAGAGGGTCAAAAACGCTCAAGAATTTGTTTTTTTCCCCAAAAAACTTCATTTTTCGGGCTGTGTTTGCGTGTGTCACGCCGTCCGCTCTTTCAGAGCCCGACAAAAATCCTGTATTTTTTCTTTTTTGGGGGGAAAACTGAAAAAAAGAAAGAAAGTTAATCTCTAGATGATTTCAAGATTCAGTCTTCATCTGGGGGGGGGCGGAGAGGGAGGTCTTTTAAGCCACGACACCCCTCCCTCCCGGAAACAGGCTCCTTTTCTATATTGTAGATATAGATATATAGATATATAGATATATTTATATAAATCTGTCTATAAAACTCTTTACATTCGGCACGTAAGGTCATTTTTAGGCAGGGTGTGGGTGTGACTTCTGGCCCTCCCCTTTTTTTCGTCCTCCTCCCCCCCACCACCACCGCCCCTCCCCGTGACTTTCCTGGCCCTGGAAACCGGAGGGGAGAAAATTGGTCCTCCTCTCCGTCTCTGCCTATTTCTTCGAAGAAAAACCGAGGGAGGCGAGGAAGGGGAGGAATTTCCCACAATGCATCACGACACCCAGGCGGCAAGCTGTTTCATTTCCTCGTCTTCCTCATCCAGGGAGGCCGATGGCACTTTGGAAGCTGCGGAGGGAGGAAAAAGCAGGATTTGAACTCGGGACGTCTCTGAAAGAGGCCCACCATCTCTGGGTTCAAGTTCTACTGGGCCTGGACTAGCGTCCCACAGCTGGCACCGGGGCAATTGTACAGGTGCCCCCCCCCCCCCAGGCTTACCACGGTTCGTTTCGTGACCATTCGGGGGGACTTTCTGACTGTTTTTCACACTTACGACCTTTGTGGGGTGGTCGCGCGATCAAAATTCAGGCGCTTGGCCATTGACTTTTATTCATGACGGTCACAGTGTCCCGGGGTCACATGACCATCCCTTTTGGCGACTTTCTGGCAAGCAAAGTCAGCACGGGGATGCCAGATTCACTTAACAACGCTGTTGGCACTAACTTAATGACGGCAGGGATTCGCTTCACAACGGTGGCAGGAAAGGTCGTAAAACGGGGCAAAACTCACTTGACACATGTCTCCCTTAACGAATGACAAGAGATGTTGGGCCCAATTGTGGTCGTAACTTGAGGACGGCCTATTCGTCCGCCACAACTAGAAGGGGTCAGGGTGAAGGGAGGGAGGATCTTTCGTGACAGGAGGTCTTCAACACAGCCATTCATTTAGTGACTGAAGTTACAGCTCACGGGCCAGTCCTCATACTTATGACCGGTCCTCATAACTATGACCGCTGCGGTGAAATCATTAAAATTTGGTCGCTTGTCAACTGGAATGTATTTTTACGCTGGCTGAAGCGTCCCGGGGTCACGTCACCGCCATTTGCGGCCTTCCCCGCTGGCTTCGGACCAACCAAATCAATGGGGGAAGCTGGATTCACTTAATGAATGTCTGATTCGCTTAACAAATCCCATGTTCCACTTAACTTAAAGGGTCGTAAAACTGTTTGCGAGTCCATTAACCCCCGCCTTGCTGAGCGACAGAAATGTCAGCCGCTCTTGCGGTCGTTAAGTCGAGGACTACTTGTGTTAAGCCTCATGGGCGTGGGTGTCTTCGTACCTGGCACGCTGGGGAGGCGAGAAGAGGGGATATTGGGGAGCTCCGGGCTGGCCTCCCCAACATTCAGAAGCTCCTTATCCAGATCTTCCTGTTCCATCTCTTCCAGTTCAGCCAGCAGCTCGTCCTGGGAAGGCAGAAAGGCGAGATTCGCATCCAAAGCTCCAATGCAGGGGAGTGGAGGAGGAGGAGCAGGCAGAGGAGGGGAGGAGGAGAGAAGGAAAAGGAAGAGGAGGAGAGAAGGAATAGGTAGAGAAGGAGGAAAAGGAAGAGAGAAGGAATAGGAAGAGGAGAAGAGAAGAATGAGGAGAAGGAAAAAGAAGACAGAGGAGAAGAGGAAGAGAGAAGGAAAAGGAAGAAGAGAAGAAGGAAGAGGAGGAGGGGAAAAGAGAGAAGGAAAAGGAAGAAAAAGAGAAAAGCAATAGGAAGAGGAGGAAGAAGAGGAGGGGAGATGGGAAGAAGGAGTAGGAAGAGGAAGAGGAGGAGAGGAATAGGAAGAGAAGGAGGAAAAGGAAGAGAGAAGGAATAGGAAAAGAAGAGGAGAAGGAAGAGGAGGAGAAGGAAGAGGAGGAGAAAGAAGAGGAGGAGGAGAAGAAGAGAAGGAAGAGGAGGAGGAAGAGGAAGAGGAAAAGTGAAGTGGAAGAAGAAAAGAGGAGAGAAGGAAAAGGAAGAGAAGGAGGAAAAAGTAGAGAGGAGAGGAGGAAGAGAGAAGGAATAGGAAGAGGAGAAGAGAAGAATGAGGAGAAGGAAAAAGAAGACAGAGGAGTAGAGGAAGAGAGAAGGAAAAGGAAGAAGAGAAGAAGGAAGAGGAGGAGGGGAAAAGAGAGAAGGAAAAGGAAGAAAAAGAGAAAAGCAATAGGAAGAGGAGGAAGAAGAGGAGGGGAGATGGGAAGGAGGAGGAGGAAGAGGAGGAGAGAAGGAATAGGAAAAGAAGAAGAGGAGAAGGAAGAGGAGGAGAAGAAGAGAAGGAGAAGGGAGAAGAAAAAGGAAGAAGAGAAGAAGGAAGAGGAGGAGGAGGAGGAAGAGGAAAAGTGAAGGGGAAGAAGAAAAGAGGAGAGAAGGAAAAGGAAGAGAAGGAGGAAGAGGAAAAGGAAGAGGAGAAGGAAAAAGAAGAGAGGATAAGAGGAAGAGAGAAGGAAAAGGAAGAAGAGAAGAAGGAAGAGGAGGAGGAAGAGAGAAGGGGAAAGGAGAAGAGAAGGAAGGAAGAGGAGAAGAAAAGCAATAGGAAGAGGAGGAAGAAGAGGAGGGGAGATGGGAAGGAAGAGGAGGAAGAGGAGGAGAGAAGGAATAGGAAGAGAAGAAGGAAAAGGAAGAGAGAAGGAAAAGGAAGAAGAAAAGAAGAGGAGGAGGACGAGGAAGAGAGAAGGGGGAAGAAGAAAAGAGGAGAGAAGGAAAAGGAAGAGAAGGAGGAAGAGGAGGAGAGAAGGAAAAGGAAGGGGAGGGGAGGAGGACTGTGGGGTGGGGAATTCTGGGAGTTGAAGTCCACCCCTCCCTCCCGAGGCCTCCCCGTGGATCTCTCCGCGCTCCTCACCTCATCTACATCGTCCCCGAAGCCGACTGGCTTAGATATGGCATCCGAGATCTGCTGGGCGATGTCCTGCTGTTCGGTGATTTCGGACATCAAGTCGTCCACTTTGTCGATGTCCCTAGAGGGGGAGGATGGGGGGGGGGGACGGGGAAGAGAAAGAGAGAGCTGTGGGGTCATCCTTGGTGATCTCTGAGCTTGGCTGTTTCGGCTTGAAGGCGTTTTGTGACCTGACTAAGTAGCTTCATCAGTGCTAAGTAGAAGGGTTTGTGAAGACGAGGAGAAGATGGTGGAGGGGAGGAAGAGGGGGACGAAAAGGGAGAGGGGAAAGAGGAGGAGTTGGGGGAGGACTGTGGGGTCCTCGGTGCTCTCTGAGCTGAGTGGTTTTCTTGGAGACGTTTCATAACCCAGCTAGGTAACATCATCAGTTCTAGAAGGGAGTGGGGTTTGCAGAAAGGAGG